TTAAATATTTTATTTCGCTGTAATTAACTGTCCTACCTTTCCTATTCAAAAAAAAATTGATTTCCATGTTTTCGGTCAATTCTTAACTATATCAGAAGACATTGTGCATTTGTTGTGTTCAATTTGTACCTAAGTTAGTAGGAGTATCAGATTATTAACATCGACTGAAATCTCATAGCTTCATAGCTTACTTGCATTCACTTATTTTTGAGATAAGGCAGTCTTGCATTAAGTGCACACGTAATTTTCGGAAATGCAATACAAACATTTTGATGAATTTGCGCATTACGCAACTATTAAAAACCGTTTATGCTTACATATACTAAAACTACATTAACTTTTTTATGTATTAATGATAAATTTAAGAATTCGGCAAATTTTGGCTTACGTGAGTATTGCTCTCACAGTGCGATATGCTATATTTTCATTTTCACCCTGAGCTGTCTTAGAAAAACCTTGTTTATATTTACCTTAAGTATAATTATAGTAGCGAAGAGCACAATTACTGCAGACTTTGCATTGATTGTTTTTAGAAACAACTAAAAGTGAATAAACAGTTCCGCAAAATACGTCAATTCAGATTGGAGTATTTATTATATGAAAACCCAAGTAGTCGGCAATATTCAATATTTACGTTAAACTGTGTCTAATTCTTTGTCCCGGGAACTCCGCATTCGAAGCAGATTCAGTCTTTTAAGTTTTGATGTCATTCACTCAACCAGCTCAGTTTCTACAATAAATACTGCTTCCTGTCATACTGTACCTTACTCAAGCTACGTGATTTTTGTAATATCTAATTTATGTACTAACTTTCATTAACGCAAATTAAACTTCTCATTCCTCTAACTTATTGCTCATTCCTTTGAGATAAGGTCTCCATGATACACTCCTATTTAGAGCAATGTACAGGAAGAAAATTTGTTTACCTAACTTCTGGAAGTTCGATCAAAGGGTTTAGTCAAGTCTGCTCAGGTATCTTGTTGGATCTAAGGGCCAATAATATTAAATTTAGTTTCACTGTACTTCTAGGCAGCAACTATGGATAGGAATTTGTGATGTGATTTTGTAATAAATTTACTGTTTCACTTGTTTTTTATGGTTGTGATTGTTTTAAATCAGAGAAGTCTTACTGTTTATAGCAACATACGAGTATATGTGGACAAATGGACTGTCGACAGGTTGAAGTGAAATGTCTTGACTCACTCACTGACTCATCAACGCCCAGTCCAAACTCTTTGACTTAGTAAGCTGAAATTTTTCACAGAGGTTTCCTTCATGATGTAGACAAGGAATAGGACCGGATTTTTCAAAATTCCCATGGAATAATCTATGTAAGATAAAGTAATAAAATACAGGTTTTCCATTTGAAACAACTGAAATATCGATATTTGACAATTGTAAAGTTTTAGAATCTTTTATAAACACTCTGTATATTAAAGTGTGATTTAGTTGATACTACAACAAAGCACGTACCTTTATTTATCCCTTTACAAAATCATGTAGACAACTTTAAAAATAACCCTAGTGCGATTTTTTTTGTGAATCCTTCTCTTGTCAAAAAATTTCAAGAAAACTGGAATAACGTGGCAACGTCGCATCGGTATTTCAAAAGTAAATTGTGGTTGTCAAGCTTAAGAAGAGGTCAATTAAAATGTCTAAAGTTATAAACGATGTCTCATAAAAAAGATAATAATAGTAAGTTGTGTGTTACGACTTTAAAACAGAACACTCTGTACAGTTGAAAATAGTTTTAGAGCATAGACCTTAAAGAATCGTACAACTTTGGTAATTGACTTTTTTTATTATATTAGCTATCAGAGTACTTTTGACCCCTGTGTTTGCACTGCCACAATTATGAGAAAACAACTTTGGTAACAAACTTAAATTTTCGTAAGCGAAGCCGCAGGCAGAAGCTACTATTTTATAATATTTATATATGTATAAATATTAATTTGATATTTATAGTTGTATTCATTCATGGAATCCAGTTTTTATCTGGATTTTATATTTTTCTCTAATTAAAATATATTTCTGTTCTATTTAATCTTTGCGAGTTCAGTTAAGGTCATCCTCAACATCAGCCTCTAATCTCTAAGAGTTAAAAAATTAAAAATTTAAAATCAAAGTCAATCCAAAATGAAAAGTACATTTTCTAAATCATAGTTTAGCCAATAACTGCTTCTGGGGACACAGTGAGTTAGAGGTAAGTCACTTGAGGCACAATGTGACACCTTCCCTCGGGTCTTCTTGAGATAACTTAATTTTTTGGAGAGGTGAATAAGTATTAGCTAATTTTATACATTATTAAAGTAAATGTTATATTATGTAATGCAATTCGTAATTTAGTTTAATATATACCTTAAATTGTAAAATTTGATTCTATGAGTTTTTTATAAGAAAAGCTCCAATTGTAAAGTTAAAAATACGTAAGTGCTACTAAACCATAAGTAAACAAATCTGTTATTCTAGACATTTTCAGCGTCATTTACTTAACAAAATTTTGAGATGATGAAGTAATTCCAGTGTTTGTTTATTAAGAATATCGCAAGAGGTATACAAAACAGTAGACGGATCTAGATACACATAGGGGAACTAAAAGGAGTCTTGAAATTAGACTTTATCACAATACTTCCCTTACTATCAGTGAGGAAGTAAAAACCTCGCTTACTGAAAATGTCAAAAAGTTCAAAAGTTTGTACACACACATTCCATTTATATTTCAGTGCCGATACTTGTATTTTCATACCTCACCGGCACCGACTTCACTCTTCCTTCATTCTCTCATCCTCCTTTGACACCTGTTCACCAACTCCCTCGCATATCCAAACTTCAACGCATCACAGCATACCCCCATACCAAACGAAGCACACGCAACCATCAATCCTTTTTAAGTACATCACTCGTACCGTTCGTTTATCCAGACCGCATTCTTTCCTCAATACACGCCTCAATTTCCCCATCACTCCGATCACCCTACCTCTTAGACTCTCGACTTGCGGTCTAAAATTCATACGCTCACTAGCTCTTATACCCAGATACTTCACCTCTTTCACATACTTCACAAGCTTTTCCTGAACCCTTACCTTCGGCGGTCTCGACTTAGACAAGGATCCCTAAAGAAGCATCATAACCGTTGCCTTCCTGGAGATCTCGACATCTACTCCATTCCCCCCAAGCAACCACCATTTCCATCACTTCCATTCTCACATCTCCTTTCTATTATCCGCCTCAATCATACACAACAGATCATCCGCATACGTCACACACGATATCCCCCTTCTTCCGATCTCTTTCAACAACCCATCCATCATCATGTTCCAAATCGCCGGTCCACAGATAGATCTTTGTGGACATCTTTTAAACACCTTCCTTTCCACCTCATTTGCCCCTCCTACCATACACATTTCGATCTCTAAAATAACTGGCCCAAACGCACCTTTAAAATCTACAAAAATTCCCAACACGTACTTCATTTCCGACCATCCCACAACCTGTTTCACACTTATCCACGCATCCTGTATTCGCAATCCTTTCACCAATCCGAACTGAGCCCTCGACCTTCTTCTTTCAAGTACCCTCACCAATCTCCCCACCAGTACCCTCTCAAACATTTTGCCCATCACACTCAAAAGGCAGATAGGTCTATACGACCAAGAGTTGGTACAGGTGGAAAGAGTTGTTTTGCAGAATTGTGTCAAACAAATAAAACAGAATTTCCGACAGATTTACATATGATGTGATAAATAATGAAACGTTTATTCTGAAAAAATGTGAAAAATCACGAAAATTTACAATCCAAAACGGAATTTTAACAAATAAATCTATGGTAACAGCAATATATGCAAAATGGCGAGGTGTGGATTCATGCAGGAATTTATCAAAAAATTGGTGCCCTTTTAACCAAACTAATAACATCTTCGGAAAATCTCTCATGAAATACGTTGTTTGTGGGCTTTATACGCTCCCAATTTTACCTGAACTGCATACTGAATCTATAAAAATAACTCCACGATAAGAATAATGTCAAGGATAAAATATTTTTCAAGGAATGGTACAAAATATGGAATTAAGGGTTCTAAAGCTGCAGATATTTCACACCTTAGACTTCAAACCTGAAAACATTGATTTTACTCCCCGGACGTTTCATGATCCAGTTTTTATCTGTCTGTCGTCTGTCTGTTTATCGTCTATGGTATGTTCGAGATTTTATTATACAGGGAATTTCCGAAACCCCTGGATTGATTGCTGTGAAACTTTATATATATTTAAAATTTATTAATTAACAATTTCTTACTTTGATACCTATGGTTTATGAATCCGCCTTGATGTTTTACCTTTGACATTCAGATTTGTGGAATGAATAATCTTTTAGTGTACTTCGTGTACTAGTATATTATATAATTTAGATGTAAATTTGTGTTTGTCACCGAGATTTTTCTTTTCTTTATAAATCATTGGCCTGTTTTCCAATAAAAGATAGCAAGCCTAATTGTAATTGAAATAACTACGTGTGGAGGAAGTTAATCCTGTGAACGAAACAAAGACGGAAGTCTGTAAAAACTGTACTATCCACAGGAACACACTAGTAGAAAATCCAATTCAGTTTAGGGGTTTCCAGCGCTGTTGATAACGTTTAGAAACAGACATAAAGAAGAAACGCGTGTTGTGTTTTTATCGCTTCATTTTTGAGTTTCATTCCTCATTACAAGCAAGTCGCGCGTAATCCCGAACATAATCCGGTCGTCCGATGCAAGCCGGGAAGTCGTGTGGATTACCCTTGAAATCCGGAGCTCCGGGAAAAAGCCGGCGATTTCGGCAATATCAAACGTTGGGCCCGACAATAAGACGCACCGTTTCCAATGTCGCCGTAGACAAACAAACAATAAAACCTAAGGCCATTATGCGCGACCGACGTCGCGATGCGTCGCGGCGCAGACCTGGTATAAATACAGAATCCTGCAGGCAAAAGTTCCTGCTACGCACAGTACAGCAGGCGCACAGAGACCCCGGTTCCTGCAAAGCACGCGAGCTCTCATTCACAGCAGTTGCTCCTCGACCCTCGCAGGAATAACACGCGCGTACGGTAGTCGAAATACACGCGCCGCACGAACACCTGTCATGATTCAGTATCACTCGCTGTAGTCTTCAACGACTCTTGAGCTCATATCAGACTCTGATTGGCCGAAGCGGCAGTGTTTTCACTCGCTTGCCGGTTAATCGGGATTCTGTCAACAAACTCCTGTTACCTGCAGGACAGGACAAGCGTTTGCTTAGCAGGAGTAAGTGACTTGATGTGATTACTCGGCGCGCGGAAAGTGCTTCTGCCCTGGCGTGTTTTGTTTATTGCTAATTGGGGTAATTGTTGCGTGCTACTGCAGCTCGTCAAGTGAGTTTTGAGCGTATGTTTGTTTACATTAGAGGCGTTCAGTTCTCTTCTTTGACACTTTCGTTTCACAAAACCAACCACCTGCTAATATTCTCCTCGATAAGTCGATTTTCGCGAATCTCGCAAAGCGGAGGCTGTCCGAAGCTCGTTCCGAACTTTACGCGACTAAGAGATGTACATTCATTGAATTGGGTCGTGTCGAGTTTGATAATAACCTAAACATTGTGTTCGCCTCGCATAAAGAGCCGGAAATAAGTATAGCTTTATTATTATTGTGGCTCTTTAATGATCCCAACAGCAACACTATATGCCAGATTAAAGGCACAGGAAATGTTCGGCCAATATTGTGCCTACTTTAAAAATAGAAAATATCGAGATTTTCTGGGTATGCTATGGGAAACTTAAATTTGGATTAATCATTCTAGCTGTTGTTATTTTTAGTAGCCAAATCTGATTCTAGCTGTAATGAGCAACACGTTGTGTTTAGGTATTTAGTTCTCGAAGCTGAGATAAGGGAGAAGCGGGATTTGTTTTGCCAATGTCTTACTGTCTGTGGGCATGGGAACTTAAGGCTTTGCGGCTCCTGCGAGGCGACAATTGGGGTAAACGCGCGCAAGTAAAATGAACAAATCTGTATTGCTCGGTTTATCACAAAACAACCCCCTTGTTTTCGGCTTTACTCAAATACAAACCTCACACACAAAACACAGTGCAATCGAAAACATATTGGTTCAGAGCAGGCCCTGACCAAACCACATCATCGTTGTCAGAATGCAACGAGCATTCAAAAGCCAGCGATGTGCAACAAAAAAAAAGAGAGTGTGTCCACCTCAACTTATATTCTAAAATATACGGCCGTCAGAGTCTTTCAGCGTTTTTCTTCATATTTTTCAATGAAGCGTAATTATTGGAAACGTATCGAGTTTCCTACATGTTTTTGAAGAGCGTGTGTGGCAATTTAACGAAATAACGTTAACGAGCAATAAAAGCGCAACCTAATTAAACCATTCTGAGTAATCTAATTGGTTTGATTGGCGGTTAAAGGTCGTTGTTTTTGCTTTACTGTCATATCGTCGACTAACCAGAGACCAGATATTGTGCGCCAATCAGAGCCAGCTTTGAATCACAATGTTTTCGATCGCACGGTAGTGTTTTAACTTTGCGGTTATTTTCAGGCTCGGAGCAAACGCTCCCGATTTTGTCCCAGCATTGGAAATAATGAAAAGCCAGTTATTGTAGACACCGATACGGCGCTTTTTCTGTCCATTAGAACCGCGAGTGTTCCGAAACAACATCGGCGCTCTTCATTAATATTAATCAAACCTTCACCGATAAAGTTTGGCGAACAGGGTCCTGCGCGGCGTGCGTCCTGCCTCCTTAACTTTTGTGTGCAAAAGGCAGCATGTTCTCGCGACCGATGAAGAAATATTGTGGTGTTTGAACTTGAGAAACTGAAATAGTAGTGATAAGGAACAGCGACTTCCCAAGTTGAACGGTGTACGGTGTGAAGTGAATACTTATTCTTTATCGATCAAACTATGCAGCACCACCCTGGGTCCTGGTACCTGCCCTGGGGAGTTCCCCTTCAGAAGATGGTGGCTGTTCCTATACATCCAGCTGGGCCGCTACACTTACAGCCTCCTGCCATGCACGTGCAACCCATGCTGACTGGTCTCCCCGCACCTCTCGCAACCCTCAGGACCTTCGTCACCCAGCCCGCTATGAGGCAACCTCAAAGAAAGGTTGGTTCATTTAAAATTTGCGCAAACTGGACGTATTTACGAGCGGAAAGTTAATTAGAGACTTTACATCACAGTAAAACACTCAATATTTTACTCAACTATTTAACTCATAAAATATTGATCTATAGCTTACGTCAACTTCATTAAATTTGATTATTTGGGTACATATTGGGTTTCCATTCGGCTGTTAATTTTACAACGCTGCAGAATGCGAATTAATGAAAACCTCATTTTCCTTCATTTTTACTATTGGTTCGTTAAGCTGTTTAAATAATAACCAATTTTGTTTGCGTTTAGTCGTTGAAATTTTATATTAAGCGTAGTACGTTTTACTGTGAAACTTTAATAGATTGTCGTTTCTGTGATTGTTGGAACTGATGTTGAACCGTTAATTTTAATTTAGAAACAATTATGGGCGAGGCTAAAGGAAATGAACGTTACAGTTACATTTACCAAAATTGTGTCGAAAAGTGAAAATACGGAAAATAATGCTACAAAGATTGCGTCGCTTAATTTCGACCGACCTTGCTTGATTAAATACTATGCTAGAAATTTTGGTTGAATTTAAATTTTAAAATTTTAACAATTACCTATCCAAATACGGTTGGAATAATTAACTACTTTACTTAACTCTATACCTACAATAGCAGATTGGAAACTAACGACGAGATATTTAAATTCAGCAAATTCAAAACAAAATATCAAGCAAGTATATTAGTTTTGATAATTCTGATGTCCATTTTCATGTTTTTATAAAAGAGCAATATATTTTTTGTCCATATCTCTAAATAGTACTTTTGAAAACCTTGACACTTTTTTCGTGTATAGCGATTACCGTTAATGCTTAAAAATTCCTGAAGTATTGACTATCGACGTCCTCTAAATCAGTGTATTCAAATTAACGACTTTGTTACCAACAACAGTCTTATGTTGTTAATGATATTGCCAATTTGTACAAGGTGTATTCTTTTAGAATGTTTTATTTATGTTTTGAGGTAACAGCGTGGTGAAATAACCGTCAAAAAACTTTAAACAAAAATGAAAGACAACTACCTCTCACAATTGTAATTTATCAAAACACAGACGTGAAAAATAATAAAAATTTAACAAAGTCATGTTCGTGGTAGTCCTTAAGATCTCAAGTAAGTTTTGATTTCTTTCTTATATTTGGATCTTGTTAGATTTTATAAAATCTTATTATATTTCATACCTAATTTTGTAGGAGTATTTTGTATTTTTCTCGGGAGAAAACTGAAAATATAAGGTGACAACTTTGAATAGGAACTATTAGAAAAGGCATATTGATTTACCTGTGTGAAGTTTTTACATGTTATTTAGTTTAAATTACTGAAATTGGTATATGCTTATATATTTCAATACATCTATACATGTTTGTGTTTGTACTCTAAAAGAATTTTCTCAGTGCTAGACATTATATTGGCAAGATAAGTATAATGGACAAACGGGTATATTATACAAATTATATACCTAGATCGAGGACTCCGAGCTAATTACTTGGCTTTGTTTTTGCAACACATACATCCAAGTAAACCACAGCAACCTGTTTATGCACTATCTTTGGAAGATATAAAGACATTTTGTGGTGTAAGTTTTTTAGTACTCTGTTTTATTATGCATCATAAAATTTTACGATTCCGTTTAATTGTGTCTAAAACTTATTTAGGTGGATGCTTTGAATTAGTTACTTTGCAGTCGCTTGATTATTTTTTTCTGGTTCATATTTTTACATCATTAGAGTATATTTAATCAGTAAATTTTGTCAGTAGTATAAATAACATAATACTCACTGTGAATAATGAGGGTATTATATTTTCTTAAAAACAGTCAGTTCTATTTTTTTTTTCATTTTCTGCATTTCATATTATATTATAATAATATGCCATAATGTTGCAATTTATAAAATTTAACTGTCGTTTTAATTATCTCAATGAAATTATTGTGTTCAAAACCATCTCTAAAATCGTCCTCGTAAGAACTGCTATTTATAGTATTTATGCACGAAACGCATATTTAGATATTGTGTAAGGCAGATCTTCAAAACCACAAAGCATGTCCGGGATATTACAGTTTCTATAAATGAGTGATTTAATGTGGCACCCAACATTCATTATGACGTTCTCTATGTAAACGTGAGACCATTTCCTAACAATAATGTTCAAAATAAGTAAATTAATCAGTAAAACGCAAATTTATTTTTTACAGTATCTGATGTCGTGTTTAACAATTAGTGTAAAATTCTTTAACAGCCTATAATGACCGTATGATTTTGTAGCTTACGAATATTCTTTTTATGCAGTGATTGTGGGCGATGAATCACGAATGTGATTGGAAAACTATATTTTTATATATAATAATAATCAATAAATCTAAAACATCATTGTAGGGATTACAGAACGTTAACTAATTTATTTTCATCTCATTTAAACAACCGACAACCTTTTGCTCTAATTAAATAATTCAATAATTGTTTATCGATAAATGCGCCCCCAGACGCGGTATTCTCTGCTTTAATCATATCCGTTTCGTTTTGAATTTTTTAACAGTAGTGAAATCTTTAAACTATTGGAAAGATTAACTGGAGCCGATTATATATTTAATAATAACAATTGAAAGGTATTACGATTTCCAATTTGCGCATTTATTGAATTTCTCTTATGTGATTTCAGATTCAATGCACTTCAGACTGGAGCGTTGGAATCGTTTCTTAACCTCATTTAATACAAGCTGACTTGTAATTTAATAAGATATTACACAAAGCCAACGTAAGATTGTAACTGGACTCACGAAGGAGAAATGAAAAACTGCAGTATGATATAATACCCTTATATAAGAATTTCATGTACAAAATTGTTACTTTCTTTTATTTTCAATTGATTTTAGCACGCAACATATAAATTGTCCGTATACTTATATTCGACAGAGCGAAGTTTAAAGAATTCTCCATTTTTTTTGTTATCCTTTATACACTGCGAACCAAGCTCTTAAGTTTCTTAAAGCTTAGCTACGGGATTGCTACTTTATGCAAACTAAATGGTTAATGTTTAATAATGATAACTATACCGTTAGATGAGATCTTTCTCTCTACTGATCTTAATGTTTATTAAGATATCGTGACTATGCTACGCAATTTTATTTTAGGGAATTTCAATTTAGGAAGCATAATTAGATACCCTCTTAAAGATTTTGAGATGTTTCATAACGCAGCTATTTCAGTTATTTTGGAAGGCTTTTCTGATTACCGTGTAATATCAAAGCACTCGCTGCAGCATTTTCGTAAGTATCTTTATAATGAGTTCCTGTGTTTTTATAGCTTTGTACGTACGTGGAATATAATATATAATGAGTATTTAGGTTAATGGTTTTACTATCATCAGGGAGGAAATGGTTTTTGTAGAATGGGGTGTAATATAAATAACGCATTTAATTAGTTACAGTTGTCGTTGAGTTTTTGAAATTTCAATTTCCAAATTATCAAATAAACTTGCTATAGGTGTGTGTTTTAAAATGTTGTTCTTGCCGGATTGAAGATTGATATTAATCTAGTTTTTAATGTTACCGTGTAGAAACCTGAATATGGATTTTCAATTTAATGGAAAAATTAATTAACAGACTATGAACAAGAGAGGTTGCATAAATTGCAGTATGCGTACCATGTAAAAAATGTACCTTTAATGATAGTTAAGTCTTAATGTATTCTCTGTTCAGATTTTTAACAGCTTTGAATCATGAAAGCCTTATTTCAGAGGTTTTAAATTTAAAACATTGTGAAAGATATGAATGCATGTGCATGAATTTAAAGGTAATGAAATTTAAAATTTAGATTTCGTAAGTGTCATAATATTTATATATGTAAGATTGGTGTCTTAAAAGCCTTTTAAAAATCACAGTCTGCTTGAAATTAATAATTTCTCGAATTTAAATAAGAATAAACAATTAAGTTACTACCTTGTTTACAGTTTTTTCGATTCACCTCTTGTTAAATGAATATTTCTTTTTGTGGTAGTGCTTAGACGGCAGGTGTACTCTGTTTTAACTGGAATTTTATTCTCCATGCCTTGTTAGTTTTTGGATCAGTTTACTACTTAAATACTCCTAATAAATATTGCGTCATTTAGTGACAACATTCTCGTCAGGTGATTCGTGCTCCAACAAATAATGTTCGAACGCTGCTCAAATTTTAATAAATATTCGCAAGTTTCGTATTAGTTGTTGTTTATTTTAAATCTCTAAACAGTGAAATTTCGCACTATAATTACAAAGATGCTTTCAGAATTTTGGTGTGATTTCACCCTTAAATCATGCAAAATAAGAGTTGAATTTACCGAGTGTTTAGCTTTGACGAGATTTGGTGTACATCGTTTCTTCTTTGTGACGACATCAGAATTGCTTGCTTTCCGGTAAATTGGTGCACAAACAAGACGTAAAGATAATGTCATTACATAAGGCGTTTAATTTCCTTGACGTGAAAAGAGCTCACGGAAAGTAAACGCTAATCATTAAACCCAAATTTCGGACGAATTCTCTGATTGCAGCTCCTGAATTCCTCCTATGGTCATTACCGATCGTAAAAGAAACATTTTCATGTTTTACCTTTTTTTATGTCGTGCTGTCGATATAAAATATCGTGGTCGCAGTATGTTAGCCATTATAAGCAATAATGTTATCCACTGAATCTAATTACGTTTTTCTTTTGGTAATCTGATGGTTCCTGGAAATGGATAAAGAACTTAACGACTCTGTTTTGCCCAAGCATTTTACTGCTTTACTGAAGATAATTACCGTCCCCATCTTCAATCTTTTTTGGATGTTCGGGTAATTTAAATGATTTTGTTACCCGAATAATCGTTTCTCACACGCAATGACACAATAGTTGACCTGAGGGAAATCAAGCTTGTCGTAGTTCATAGATTAATTACACGAAACTACAGGCAGTGATAATTATACGCCAGTTCTGACGAAATTGTAAAAATATTGTTTTA